CAGCGTTTGCCCAAAACAACTTATGGCACCTATAACTGCACTGGACTTCTGATGCGTAGCGCTTTTATCATTTACCTTGACAGTCCCAAAACAAATTCCTCTAATTAATTTGTACGATGGACCAGCGTGTTGCTACATATAACTTTTTTAGGTTCCCTCATTTTTTCCCTTTTTTCTCAATGAAGTTTTTACACGGATTGACACTTTTAAGCTCCAGTGCGGATAGTGGTCTGCACTGTCGCTCGCGATCAACGAATGTCAGCACGCGAAATACCGTCGCTGGGAAAGTCTCTAAAGATGAGCGAAAAGAACGCAAAATTGTTCATCGAGCAATTCGGAAATTGCGAGATGAAATTCTGGATGAGGTTATCTTCATTAAATATTTTTATTTGTTGACCATAGTAAGGGCTGGGTTTCTCGTTACTGGATATACTCAGTAATAGCCAGACTTTATACTTAGATTGCCCACTGATAACCTTCGTAAAGAGAACATGTGATCGTTCCAATAAAATGGCGAAAGACAAAAGGAAAATATGCAGTACTACTGCGTAATTTGATCCAACTTATGAACTGGACTTGAGCACTACTCAAGAATATGAATTTTTTGAGCTTTTATTGAAGGTAATAAAGACCTTTAGGGGCAATGAAAGGGAGGGCAATAAAGGCTGGAAAGTAAAAATCAAATAAGTGTAGGGTGATAAAAAGAAAGCATGAACTATACAAATATTCGTAAAAAATATAGTCAATGACAGAAGAAATGTACTCGAAGAGGAATACTCCGGCCTATAAAACTATCAGATGGCAGAGTGGTTTAGGTGCAGAACCTTTTTGGGACACATTTTATTATTGATCCTTATCCTACCCGCGTATAAAAACGAGTGCTTGTTCTTAACGAAAGTACTAAATTTCTTGTGGCGCTCAGCGAAATAAGTCCAAATAAGTCAAAAGTCTTCTTCCTTCTCACTGTATGTGACGTAGAGACACTAGGAAAAACACTTTTTGTTATTAGATACCGCCCTTGGCAATGTTGTTTA